TCGAGACTGAGACCGAGACTGAGACCGAGACCGAGACTGGGACCGAGACCGAGACCGGGACCGGGACTGAGACCGAGACCAAGGCCAAGGCCAAGACTGAGCCCAAGTCCGAGTCCAAATCCGAGTCCGAGTTCGAGTCTGAGAGGGTGAAAGCCCAAAGCGTTTGTGTCCCAGACCCTAGGGGGTTTGGTGAGCTCCAAAAGTATAGTAAGGGGGAGGACTGCAGTGGAGCCAGTTTGGCCAAGAAAGGCTAGTTTGGCCCCCCAAGTGTTGGGTGATGAGCTGACCACTGGGAAGTCTAAGACTAGAGTGAATATGGACCGACAAGTGGGGTAGCTTGGTGAAGTATTCAAGAGTCAGCTCTAGTTCCCCCGGGAGATCGAATGGTCGATGCTTCTAGTTCAAGTGTGGGTGGCACTACCTACTTGGATACCCGGCATGGCTCAACGGAACCTCGCTCTAAGCCCATGGCTAGAGCACCAAAAGGCAGAAGGTGGGGAGAGTACCCATGAGGCTCGCGTAAGGCCATGGTGTTCCGAAATGTTGTCCCAAAATCTCAGACAGTGAAAAGGAAGAAAAGCAATCCTCTAGTGCAGTGACCAAGGATACAGTCACATGGTGAGGAAGTCCCAAAAGATAGTGGGACTTAGAAGTCGGGCCTGTGGGCCTTGATCCAGTGGCAGTGTTGGCAAACACAGCTATGGACAAAAAGGGACTTGGTGGGGATTGGAAAAGAGATATTGGGGAAGGCTATTCCTCATATCTGGGGGCATCCTAAAGATGCTAAGGAGTGGATCTGGGATGATCACTCATGGATGGATGGCCTAGTCTTGAGAGACGGAACTGCGATGCAAGTGGTGTTGGACCACCAGTGTGACCAATTTAAATGGGCATGGCCTTAGCGTAATGGGTTGAGAGGTCGGTGGTATCTTGGGGTGTCGGTCATGGGATCGGACACGTAGAGCACTTGGACCAAGTGCAAAGGTTGAGTGGCAGGGATGCTTTTTTCAGGGCTAGCAAGCCCCAAGTCTTGAATGGGATTTATGGAGGTTGTGAATGAAACTCCTCCAAGTGGTTGGAGGTGCGATTAAGTGACTAAAGTAGAATGGAAAAATTAGTCATTTATAGTGACCACATGTTCAACCGTTTGAGCACCAAGAAACTGGGTTAGATTAGCCCAATTTGTGGGAGCATTATTATCAAGATCAAGAAAATGAATGTACTACTTGCCTAGATCAATAACCATTGTAGATAAGGCTCACTTCCAGTCTGTTAATTCAGGAGCACCTTGGGCTGGTTCAAGTTCTTTGCCTAAAACAATCCCATCGCAATTATCACACAACTTTCATGAGGGCAGCCCAATTTGCAAAATCTCCCTTATACAAAGGGATTAAACGCTGCTCCAATACACTGGCAACAGTACTACTGCTTGCCATGTTCTGCCGTACTCTGTGTAGTCGGCAGTTGTTGATCAGAAAGCACAAGTCTCTCCTAGCATGGTGAACCATCAGGATCTACAATCTGATGATAATGATCTGAGGAGACGCTAATAAGAGAGAAAACAGGATGGCCGTGGCCACCAGCGACTGACCTAACTACCCTGTGCCACGTGGCAGAAGCCTACTCCCACTCTGTAGTCTGATTATTAGTCAATTTTCTGGAGATCAACGAGGCATTATTTTTTCTCTTGATGGGGTCGAGGCAATGCACGGTAGCAGGTATGCTGATATTTACAAGCTTGATGCTATTTTAGTGCCTCCTCCTCGTATATTTATGGCCAAGGAATTGACGCTTTGGCCATGTGCATCAGCAAGCTCTTGAGAAACTTGTTAAGAAGCAGCTTGTTGCAGCTTGTGACCTGGATATAGTGGAGCCTTTGGATTTTTGCGAGCCGTGTATTCAAGGCAAGCTTCATCGTGCACCATTTCCGAAGAATTCTCATGAACGAGCAGCTGATCTCCTTGGACTAGTTCACTCTGATGTTGGTTCTATGGCAATTGCTTCTCTTGGTGGCAACACATATTTTGTCACATTTATAGACGATTATTCCAGGCGAGAGTTATGTCTCGTAAAAGGGAAGTGTTTTCCCTCTTCGTGGATTTTCGGTCTCGAGCAGAGAAGCAGACTGGCAAATCCCTCAAAATCCTGAGGTCTGATAATGGCGGTGAGTATGTTTCCAAGAAATTTCAAAACTATTGTGGAATTGTTCAGCAATTCACCGTTCCAGGGACGCCACAGCAGAAAGGAGCAGCAGAACGCATGAACCGCACGTTGGTCGAGTCTACTCGTGCAATGCTCCTTGGCGCTGGTTGTCCAGAATCTTTTTGGGGAGAGGCTATTGTTACCGCTGCTTATCTTCGCAATCGTCTTCCAACATCTACTCTTTCTAATATCACTCCAGAAGAATTATGGACTGGAAAGAAGCCATCCGTTGCACACCTTGGAGTATTCGGTTGCTTAGTTTATGCCAAGAACCTTGCTCGATTGCCTCTCGCAGTATCAAGGGTGTGTTTGTTGGTTATGGCGAGGACACAAAAGGCATACAGAATTTTGTCCTTCTTAGACTGGCAGTTTTTCCCAGCACGTGATGTGAAGGTTTTTTCCACTCCAACTCCTTCAACTTGGCGACTTGTGGAAGAAGTTCCGGTGCTTCCAGCTTCAGGGGAGCTCCACCAGCAGCTCAACAACCTCCTCCTCCACCACTCAATCCTCCACCGCCTCTTCATCCGCCGGAGCAAACATCAACCCCACCTTACCGCCACCTGAGTTACCAGAGCTAGATCTCGTCCCGTTGAGCGGCCTCGTTCTCAGTGTGACCCTGTCGGCTATTCTCGTTCTGGCCGGCCACTTTTTCCATCTCAACGAGCTCAGGATGCTGCCGAGAGTCAACACTTTTTCAGGTCGCGGTCAAGTTGGTTCTAAAGATGGTCCTGAGCCAAGAACGGTGACTGAAGCGCTCACAGGTCCTCATGCTGTGGAGTGGCGAGCTGCTATGGATTCTGAGTATCTCTCGCTTCAAAAGAACGACACTTGGACGCTCGTTTCAAAGCCAGCTGACCGCCAGGTGGTCTCAACAAAATGGCTATTTCGCATGGCCTCTATTCGAGTTTTGCTAGCTTTAGGATCTCGAGGTGCATCAAATGGATGTTCGTACAGCATTTTTACATGGAGATCTTACTGAAGAAATTTTCATCCAGCAACCAGAGGGAGCCCGGGGTGGTCAAGAAAGCTTTATATGGTCTTAAACAGTCTCCTAAAGCTTGGTTCGACAAAATGGACAAATTTCTCATTTCTATCGGATTTTCAAGAAATGCTGCTGATCAGAACGTGTACCAGAAACATGTTGAAAAGACGATGGTCCTTATTGCGTTATATGTCGACGATTTGATCTTACTAGCAAATTGTCTTTCTTTTCTACATAAGATCAAAGAGCAGCTCTCTTCTCAATTTGAGATGTACGATCTTGGAGATATTAATTTGTCTTGGTCTTAATATTATTGGAGACCGGTCCCGTGGAACTATTCATCTTTCTCAGCAGCGCTATGTGGACGAAATTCTCAAACGCTTTAATATGCACGACAGTACTCCAGTTTCCACACCTATGGAGCTTACTCTTCAGCTTTCTAAAACTCAGTCACCAACCACTGAAGCTGAGAGCAATTCCATGGAGAGGATTCCGTATCGTGCAGCTGTTGGTAGTCTGATTTATCTTGTTATTTGTACCGGCCCAGATTTAGCGCATGCAGTGGGAGTCGTGGCGAAATCCTTGGCGCTTACATATTCTCGTGTCCCAGATGAGCAATTCCACTTGCGCGGCTACTGCGACTCAGATTGGGCTGGTGACAAAGACACCCGCAAATCTACATCCGCCTACGTTTTTATTCTCGGTGCCTCAACTTTGACTTGGAGGAGCAAGAAACAGAGCATCACAGCTCTGTCGTCTACTGAAGCCGAATATATTTCTGCGTGCTCAGCGTGCAAAGAGGCTGTCTGGATTCGCTTATTGCTCACAGAGCTTGGACATTTTCTTGTTCAGCCCACGATGTTACTTTGTGACAACATTAGCGCTATTGCTCTTTCAGCTACATCAAAGTTCCATGACAGAACTAAGCACATTCAGCTCCGTTATCACTATGTCCGAGAGCAGGTCCAGCGGGCATTATTGTCCTCCAATTTTGCTCTACCACTGAGCAGCTTGCTGATATGCTGACCAAGTCTCTTCCACAGGATAAATTTGCTCTCAATTGCAACCGTTTACAGTTGCAGGAGAAACAGGAGCGGTCGTGAGGTGCTGGCGCAGCTATTGCGTACTCGCGCATGAGAGAGAGAGAGTCTGAGTTACTGCGCCAGAGTGGGAGTGTTAGTCCTAGTCAAAGTCATTATTATGATAGATTCTGTGATATTATGACCTGTTTAAATTTGGCCACGGCCATGACCATGTACCCTGTTTTCTCTCTTACTCAGATCATTATCACTTGTGGTTTTAGTCTTGGACAGGAAAGGTGGTGAAGAATGGAACTGGAAGAAAGTATCCAGTTTGCCAAGAGTACCCAAGCATGTAATAAAGAACAACAGCTATGTACTGTACAATGCTAGGTACGCATGGAAACCTTACCTTTCTGACCGTGGGCAAATGGATTGTTGTTTTTGATTCCCAGAACTTGAGCTTGACATGAAAGAGACTTTTTTGCGGAAATCTTATTCGGTTGGAGCCAAGTTTGCATGCCAACAAGCCGAGCGATCCCAGGAGAATTTGTGCGAGCTGGTTCACTAATGTATCTGTTAAATTCGGAACGTTCTCAAATAAGAGTTATGCACAAAAGTGTTTTTTTTAATCTCCTAGTTTTTTTTATCAGATTTGGAGGTTCTTTTCAAGACTGGAATGTCGTGGCTAGAGATTGGAAAAAAAAACCAGCAAAGGCAACTTGCACTTAGACGCTTTTTCTGTCCTGACTAATTTTCTTAGTAAAAGATGCAAAAACTCAATTAGTATTTGAATTTTAGGGCTCATGGGCTAAAGGGTTTTTGGTGATGTATGTGAATGTCGCGATGTCGCCGCTCGAGGTGATGGTGAGGATTCCAGGCGCTTGGACATCGAACTGGAAGGTAAGCGGCGGCTCCTCGATCTCCTCCTCGCTCTCCAGCATTCGCACTACTGCATCCATTGTCGGTCTAGCTGCTGGATCATCTTGCGTGCACCAGAATGCGATGTGGATCATATTCTTTGCCTGCCTTGTGTCTGCCGAGTCCTTGACGCTCGGATCCACCACTTGCATCGTGTTCCCTTTCCGGATTTCGCTCATGGCCCAGGCTGGGAAGTACCAGCTCAGTGGCGACTCCATCTTGGAGCAGTCTAGATTTTTCCTGCCGCCAATGAGCTCCAGGAGCACCATTCCATAGCTGTAGACGTCGCATTTCTTGGTCGCTGTTGAGTGTAGCAGCCACTCTGGAGCTAGATATCCTGGAGTTCCTCTCACTCCAGTGACCACTCCATTTTGATCTCTGTCCATGAGTAGCTTCGCCATGCCAAAGTCTGCGACTTTGGCCTCAAACTTGTCACCCAGGAGGATGTTTTGTGGCTTGATATCCAAGTGGATGATCGAGTCTCTGGATTCCTCGTGCAAGTAGGCCAGTCCTCGAGCAGTGTCGAGGGCAATGCTGTGTCGAAGTTTCCAGTCCAGTTTGTCCTTGTTGTCGGAGAAAATCCATCTGTCCAAGGAACCATTGGGCATGAGCTCGTAGACGAGCAGCCTGTGTGAAGCATCGGCACAGAAGCCATAGAGTTTGACAATGTTGATGTGGCTTATGTTTCCCAGAGCCGAGACTTCTGTTACAAACTCCTTTTGTCCATGCTGTGTGCTGAGTTTCTTCACTGCCAGCTTCATCCCGTTGTGAAGCATTCCTTCGTACACTGTGCCGCAACCTCCGCTTCCTAAAACCTTTGTGAATCCTTTTGTTGCAGAGTATAGGCTGCTGAACGAGAACCTGTAAGGCGAAGCTTGTACACCGGTAAGGAAACTGTTTAGTTCCTTGAGCATGACCCTCCTTCGATGCAGGATCGTGAAAAGGAACGCAAAAGTTACAATGGCTACAGCAGCTCCTCCAGAGGTAATTCCGATCACTAGGAGCTTTGGAGTGTCTGACGATGAGTTGTCAACAGGCACTAACCTGGAGTAATTCTGGTACTTCAGAAAGCCGAACAGTTGCTGAGTCTTGTTCGAGTCTACCGTCAAGCTTCCCAGGACGTCTTCTACGAAAAAGCAATTCTGGAGCGCCTGGTCGAAAAAGAACGCCGCACAGGAGCAAGTGGATTTGCATTGCTCGAAGCAATCTTGCATTGCAGCGCCTGTTCTATCGGGAGGGTTGAAAGTGTTGGCGAAGTACGATGCACCTGCGAGTGTTACAAAGTCGGTCTCGTACCTGGAGCTGCAGTTTGCAAGAGAAGACCATTCTGGCTGGGCACAACTTCCAAGTGCTGAGGTAGTAGAGTTGTTTGCTTCGTTGGTCAGGCACTGACACTGCTTTCCTTTCTCGAGCAGCCCATAGCTCCCGCATGGCGCTGGCGGTGGAAAGAACTGACTCGTGCTATCGAGCTCCCAGCTTCCATTTGCCAACTCTCGCCTGTATGAAACCATGGTCCCATCATCGGCAAGCTGGAAATACCTCATTGTGGTGTTCCCTGGGAATATTTCCCCGGACAGTGGAGAGCCACACGGCTGTTCGTTACCACCAACACGAAGAGGTTCGTATACCATGCTCATTTCTCCTGCTGGCGTGAATGAAAGAGCAGTTCGATATCCTGGGCAGGTTACACTGGGCGAGCCAATTTGTGATCCGACGAAGCTCCACAACATGTAAGGCTGCTTTTTCTTGGAACCGATGCTCATGTATCCGACTGATCCACTGGCCTGTATCTCTGCGATATACGAGCCTTCGCTGGGGTCTGAGGCGTTTTTGTTACTCACAACTGACTGTCCAGTTACTAGCTTCTGGTTTGGCATCAGTGCGCTCCATGGGCGATCAAAGGAACTCCATACCGGGGTCTCAGATTCATCGAAGAGCTGCAAGTTCCCGGAATTCTGAATGCCGATATAGGCAACGCTTTCGCTTGGAGACCATGCCACGGAACCATTTGCATCCAGGAGCTGTAAGCGACCATCTGTTTTAGCGAGCATTGAATTTCCTGACACTGGAGTGTTCCGGTTGGCTAGCCAGACGGGAGCTGCTGTGGAAGAGTTGCGAGTGCCAAACATCAGTGCCAGGTAATACTTGTTTGATCCATTGAAGTTGAGGAATGCTAAGCCCAAGTTTTCATCGTCGCTGCGTAGAGATTCTGGCCGGCTAGAAGGGTTATCCTTTGGAAGAGCACTCACCAGGCGATAACTCCCGGATCTGCCATCGCCTTGGAATTCTGGGAGACTGTTGTTCATGAAAATGCGCCATTTATCAGGTATCGTGTACAACTTCCCTTCAGAAGTAACTGTGAGGAGCATTATTAGTTCCAGGAACAACGCCTTAGCAACCTGTGAAACCTTTTGCTTTTGCATTGCTGCCGTTCTGCATTGAGAACACCTGCTTATACGAGACGTAAGTCCTTACTTTCAAGACTTGGAAAAGTCTTGAAGGATAGACTGCAGCCATGGAGACTAGACTTCTGTTCAAGCAAAGACTAATCGAACTTTTGGGTACAGGTTGGAATAAGTGGAAGAAGTATGAATATGAATGAGCCATGGAGACTAGACTTCTGTTCCAGCAAAGGACTAATCGAACTTTTGGAACAGTTGGTACTCGAGACTGGAATAAGTGTAAGAAGTATGAATATGAATGGATCAAGTGAATGGACCGCTCCCGTTCTATAGATACAAAAATAGCTAGCGCATTCTGCTTCATGGTTCATGGCTATGAAGATTTTTTTGGTCGCTTTCTTTCAGCTGATGACAATTCTCTTTCGTGTGCACGGCAGGAACTACAGTCTATCACACGGCTGGGAAGTAACGAACAACAATCAGCTTCTGGAACTGCAAGGATCACAGTCCAATGCCAGTTATCGGCTGCTCCAAGCAGGTGACAGTCCCCTCCTGAGCCAGAGCGGAAGATTTGGCTTGGCTTTCTTTCGATTCCACAACTCGGCCGAGTTCTACTTTGCTTTGGTTCTTGGCTCCAGCAACAACACGAACTCTGGCGTCTGCGTCTGGGCTGCAAACCGGGACAGTCCTGTGACAGAAAATGCTACCGTTCGTGTGACCGATCAGGGAGCTCTGGAAGTTGCCGATTGGGATGGGAAGGTTGTATGGAGTTCTCCTGGTGGAGTTTCTGAGATGGAGCTTCGAGACACTGGGAACTTTGTCCTCTACAACTCCACGGGTGGGATCTCCTGGCAGAGCTTCGACAATCCTACAGATATCCTTTTAGAAGGACAAGTCATGGTCACTAAGCAGAGACTTATCAGCAGCGCCAATTCATCAAGTCTTGCTAGCGGGAACATCAAGATGGAAGTTGAGCCGAGCGGCCTCATCTTTTTTCTCAGCCGGGACACAAGACAGCCTTACTTGGTTTGGAACTTATACAATGGAAACTTGCCAGCGGACGAGACTTCCATCAACGCACCATGCCCGACTTATCACACAGAGCTCGAGTATTCCGCTGGCCAGCTGAGACTATCGTACCAGCCATCGACGAGCAACCCTTCCCAGCTCTGCAGCGTTCCTCTCACAGCAGTACTCGGGAACAGCAGCGATGACTGGCAGTATCTCAAACTCGAAAACGATGGGAAGCTGGTTCCTTACACCTACAACTCCGGACGAGCTTCGTGGGAACAGGGTCCGCCGTTCATGAGGAACAGACTTGGAGGTTGCCTCCCGATGGCATGCGAATCGAACAGCGTTTGCTCTGGGAACGCTCAGTGCAGCTGTATAGTCCAAGACCAGAGTGGCCATCAGGAGCAAACTTGCCCAAGTCCGAGCAGCATACCTCTCGTTTGCAACCACGAAGTCGAGGCCGAGAACCACCACTTTCTCAACGTGAGTGGAGCCGGCTACTTCTCCAACAATTACACCAAGGCCGACAGAGTTTCCACCTTGAGCGAGTGCTGGAGCTTGTGCCTAGCGAATTGCTCCTGCACCGCACTCTTCTACAACAAGCAGTCGAGCACCTGTTTCTTCGTCGACCGGATGTATGGAGGCCTCGCCAGGGATCCCAACTTCGATGGCTTCCTCAAGCTGCAAAACGCAGAGCTTTTCGTGCGGAAGAAGCCCAAGGATCGCACCGTTTTGCTTGGAGTCAGCATTGCTGCGAGCGTGGTCCTACTATCAGCTCTCGGCTTGGTCGTGCTGATGATCTGGAAGCACAGGCTTGACAAAGTTGAGCGTGCTTTGGCTCTGGCACTGCAAGGCTCGGCTCAGAAGTATACATACAAGGAGCTGGAGGTGGCGACTGGGAACTTCGCTTCGAGCCTTGGTAAAGGCGGCTCTGGAACCGTCTATGAAGGGACTCTGGCGGACGGGAGAAAGGTGGCGGTCAAGCGCCTGGAGAACCGGAACCAGAGTGACAGGGGATTTCTCGCGGAGATGGCCTCGCTGGGACGGATAAGCCACCACAATGTTGTCCAGCTCTATGGCGTTTGCTCCGAGAAGAACCAGCTCATGCTCGTCTACGAGTACGTGGTGAATGGATCCTTGGATAAGTGGCTGTTCGAAGACCGATGCTTGGGCTGGCAGAGCCGCCGCGATATTGCCTTGGGAGTAGCTCAAGGCCTGGCTTACTTGCACGAGGAATCGCGGCAGCTGATCATCCATCTCGACATCAAGCCCGAGAACGTCCTTCTAGACGATAAGTTTCGTCCCAAGCTCTCCGATTTCGGCATGGCGAAGCTGCTCAAGACTCGGGATGTAAGCCACACCGTGACTGATGTTCGAGGAACTCCAGGATATCTCGCCCCGGAGTGGCTCTTACATTCGGTAGCCACGAAGAAATGCGACGTCTACAGCTATGGTATGGTGCTGCTGGAGCTCATAGGTGGACGAAGGAACTTGTCCAAGCTTGGCAGCCATGGTGGAGAAGACTGTCCTGAAGCTCCAATGGACGAGGGGGAACAAGCTTTGTGGTGGTACTTCCCGGCCTGGGTCGTAGCTCGAGTCTCCAAGAGAGAGTTTCTCAAAGTCGTGGATACAAGGATCCGAGATAGTGTGGACGAGGACGAGGTGAAAAGTATGCTCCAGGTAGCTCTGTGGTGCATCCAGGATAATCCCAGCCAAAGACCCCCGATGGATACAGTCGTCCAGATGCTCGAAGGTCGAAAGGAGATTTTGGAGCCGCCTCTCTTCTTCCGGTTTGCGTTGAGTTCTGCGGGAGTTCTTCGGTTCTCTTCGACTAACCATCTTGGTGGTAGCGTCAGTGTGGCCATGGTAGCACACCAGCCCAATCTATAGTTGAAGAGTTTGATCCATTATAAAGTAAATAGAATATTTTTTCCTCACGAAATATGGATCACCTTTGCGTTCTCATTTGATTGATCCATTGACGATTGCTGATTTGCATGGTCCTTTAGAGGTTTGGAAGGGAAGACCTTGGTAATTTGCAATGCCCTGCTCGTCAGTGCGAAGTTCCTGCAAGTCACACGGTTTACATCGTTCGAGTGAACAAAACATGGAAAGTCTTTCATCAACTTACAGGAGCAATCTTGTCCCACAGGGGGGGAAGATCAGCTCCTTGGATTTTCATCGCACGGAGGATCTCATGGTGACTGCCGCGGAGGACGCGTCCATTCGGCTCTACGATACTGCCAGTGCGACGTAGGTGATTTTTTCCCCCGAGCTCTTGGGAGGTTTCAAGTTTCCTTTTCTTTGCTCCATCCAGGCCCATGAAGACTCTCTACAGTGCAAGATATGGCGTGGATCACATATGTTTCACGCATCATACCAATGCTGTGATTTTTTCCTCCAGCAATGGAAGTGATGGTAAGAGAGAACGTTTTTTCGTGTGTTTGAGGTTCTTTCTTTGTTTCCAGAGTCCTTGCGGTATCTATTGTTGTATGATAATAGATTTCTACGATATTTCAGAGGACACACGCAAAGGTGAGTCTTTGGAGCAACCCAAGGCCATGCTTATTTCATGTCTGGGTCATTGGATCACACTGTCCGGTGTGGGATCTTCGCAGCAATGTTTGCCAAGTAAGAAAAACTCTTTCCTTGCGTTTTCTTCCAGAGAGCATTTCCATGATTTCAGGGTCTTCTTAGAGTCCGGGGAAGACTGTCTGTGGCGTATGATCAACAAGGCCTGGTATTTGCTGTTTGCATGGAAGGCGGAGCAATCAAGCTGTTTGACGGAAGGTCTTTCGACAAGGTAAGATGTGATTGATTCTCCAATAATTTTATGAAAGTCCGAACGAATGCTTCAGGGACCTTTTGACACTTTTCTCGTGGGTGGTGATACCGTGGAAGTCGCTGGCATGAAGTTTAGCAACGATGGCAAAATGATGCTTCTCTCCACAACAAACAGCCGGGTGTATTTGCTCGATGCCTACTCTGGAAAGAAGGTAAACTTCTCTTTCGCTCGTTAAGTCTATACCGAGAGCTCCTTCCCAGATGCATGGATTCACGCTCAAGCCCAGTCGAGACGGAGAAACGTTGGAAGCATC